AGACTCCGGGATAGAAAACAGAAATTACTAAGCTCCAAGTTTGTTTTTTTTTAAAAAGGTAATTAGCAAAATAATAAAGCAGTAAATCTTCAAAACCTGAATTATTTCAAGGTAAAAAACTTGTTTAATATCTGTCGGGAAAAACTGGTGACAGTGACCAATAAATAAAATGAACGTAAAGTATAAGCAATGCTTTCACACCAACAAAAATATTCAAAAAAGAACATAGCAGATTTCCTGAGGCAGATGATGATTAAAAAAATAATCTGAAGGAAATTATCCTTCAACGCATTTCAACAGATTGCAACTACTGTGTCTTATAGGAAGTACGTAATGTACTGGTTTGGTGTTTGACTAAAATATAAGTGAAAACTTATATATTTATGGCAACAAAATTTTACTTTCTAATTAGAGATCACAGAATAAGAAAGATGTTTAATTCATATTAAATCTTTATAGATTAAATCTTTATAAATCAACTGAATAGAAATGTCTGCAAGGATGGCTGGTTCAGGGTAGACTTTAAACATTTTCATTCTTAGAAGATTTAGATCCTGAGAGAAAATTGTAATCCTCTATCAATTTGATGACTAAAGAAGCACAGGATTAAAATTAAATTAGAAAGAAACCCAGAAGACTGATTACAGTCAGATGGAAGGCAAACGATGCCTAGTCTTCCTATTCCTTTCCCAAACTCATCTAACTGGAACAAAAGAAGAGGAGAAGAGAATTCGATTACGAAGAAATGACAACACAACTGTTTTCCTGTAAAACAGGTCAAAATTATAAAAGAATAATGTGTAAGATTATACAGCTACTAGGAAATACAGCTGCATTAAATGTAAACACTTTTTCTTAATCACTTGTAAAAAGACATAAAAACATTTAAAAGAATCACGAGTTCCTTTGTAAATCTAGGTTCCATAAAAATGCTATTCCTTTGTGAGTGAAGAATGGAGAAAAAAATCTTTACAGTTTAAAAAATTATAACGTGTACAAACAATTCTCATAGTACGATGACTTAAAATTTAAAGTTCTGCAATGATGAAAACCAACAAGTGAATCAGTGTTTCAAAACTTGTTCTCAATCAAAAAGAATTAGGTACATAAAAGCCAAAAAGTCAAAGACAAACATTAGAGGGTCTACATTCTTCTTTATATTTTTCTTATAATTTAAGTCAAGCTAATGTACTTACACAATTTGATATAAAAGGAAAAATATAATGAATATCCCCAAATTTGTTCTACAAATTCAACTACATAAAATTTGAGAGCATACTCTGGTATATCACATACTAAAGAGCTAATACAGGCCGGGCACAGTGGCTCACGCCTGTAATCCCAGCACTTTGGGAGGCTGAGGGGGGTGGATCACGAGGTCAAGAGATCGAGATCATCCTGGTCAACATGGTGAAACTCCGTCTCTACTAAAAATACGAAACATTAGCTGGGTATGGTGGTGCGTGCCTGTAATCTCAGGTACTCAGGAGGCTGAGGCAGGAGAATTGCCTGAACCCAGGAGGCAGAGGTTGCGGTGAGCCGAGATCGCACCATTGCACTCCAGCCTGGGTAACAAAAGCGAAACCCCCTCTCAAAATAAAATAAAGAGCCAATACAATTTAAGAGCATAACCTACCTTTTAAAAGTTAATGGGATCACTGATTTAAAGACTGTACCAAATGAATACTGGTCTAATTGCCTATCTTGTTGTTATTGCTAAAAAGTCATACTACTAAAGACTATATCCTGGTTTCTACAGCCTCCCAAATTCTAACAAAATCAAATGATATCAGTAGAACAATTTATGGATCAGGTATGATGACATGCTTGTAATCCCAATGCTTTAGGAAGCCAGGAGTTCAAGACCAGCCTGATCAACGAAGCGAAACCCATCTCTACAAAAAAATCTAAAAAATTAAAATTAATCTGGGTGTAGTGGCTCATGCCTGTAATTCTAGTACTTTGGGAGGCCAAGGCAGGTGGACCACTTGAGGTCAGGAGTTCAAGAACAACATGGCAAAACTCCATCTCTACTAAAAATACAAAAATTAGCCAGGCATGGTGGCACGCACCTGTAGGCTCAGTTACTTGGGAGGCTGAGGCAGGAGAATCACTTGAACCTGGGAGGTCGAGGCTGCAGTAAGCTGAGATCGCGCCACTGCACTCCAGCCTGGGCAACAAAGCCAGACTCCATCTTAAAAAAAGAAAAAAAAAATTACAATTAGCCAGGTGTAGTGGTGCATGCCTATAGTCCTAGCTACTTGGGAGGCTGAAGCTGTAAGACTGCTTGAGCCCAGGAGTTCAAGGTATCGTTGTGCCACTGCTCTCCAGCTCAAGTGACAGAGCAAGACCCTGTCTCTAAAAAAATGTTTTCAAGTAGAATAATTTATGGGTTATAGAGCATTATAATAAATGTTATTTCACTTGATCCTTACAGTATCCAATGAGGGAGGCTAAAATCAAAAATTACCTTCTCCTCATTTTACATTGAAGAAACAAAGATTCAGAGAAATTCAATGACCAGTCCAGTTGATATCATAATTATGAGCCTTTTTTTTTTTTTTTCAGGCCCATACTCTGCTAAAATTATGAGTCTTAAAATTCCAGGCCCAGGGGAATTTTCATTACATTAGACTATGTAAGTCACCCAAATATGGTAATATATAAATGTACCTTTGGCACGTCAAAAAGCAATATAAATATCGTCATAATGAAATTTTGGTAGGTTAATGTCTTCTAAGTTCCGGCAAATGATTCACTAATTTATATAATAAAAAAATTAAGTTGTTCCTTTTATTTCACAGAAATATAGCCTAAACTAAGATGGGTACAATTTGAGTTATTTCCAGCTGTTATCACAAAGAAACTGATGAGGTAGGTTAAAATGCAGTAAATTTTTCTAATTTGAAGACATTCTCAGAATTTTTATAAATCTGCTCTAACAACAGCAGAAGAAGCAAGGTTGGTTTGAAGATTTATTTACCCAACTGGTCCACAAAGATCTAACAGCATAAGACTAAAGGAGCCTAATTACTTACTTGTAAGAATCACTATTCATCTTCTAAAACTAAAAGGATTGGTACATGTTTGTACATAAATTTCTTTAATTAAGATAGTGATATGGACTATCATCTATGCAAAATGTTTTATTTGGTGTCATTTACATATTTATTACCTGCCACATATTATTCTGGTAAAGCAGAGACTTCATTTCACATAGATTAAATTAAGATCTTACAAATTTCTTTGATGTGAGACTCACTACTAGGGTAAAAGCAAGTTGTGTAACATGAATTGTTAATTTAAATATTTATTGAAAAACTGTGTATGAAGACCTGTGCCAGCTGAGTTATTAACCAATTGTTCTTTGAAACAAACTATTCTGAGTTTAATATTATCTTAGGTCTTTTGTCTCGTTATCGAGTAAAACAATGTTGCTGAAAGCAGAGTACTTTTTGAAAACCTTTTGATAATATAATAACATTTTAGAGAGAACTATTATTTTCTCAGTTGTCAACTGAAAAAAGAAAACACTAAACATTATCATATGCCAATCAAAGTTAAACATATGGTACGAAAACTGTCCAGACTTTTTCAGATCGGTTTAAGCTAGCTGAGACTTGAAACTGCTGCCCAAACTAAATACTGTTGTTTAAAACCATGGATTCACAAGATTACATTATGTAATTTTGCCCCATAGTATTACATAAATTTTGTGGGGCAAAATTAAGATACTTATTGAAAGTAACTGAAAAGTCAATATAGTGTTCCCATACATACCAACAATTAATTTAAAAGGGAAAGTACAAATGAATATCTAAAAATCTGGAAGCACAAAGTTAAGATTTTCATGGTGATGTTCACTTAACTGTCTATACTTGGCCCACTTGTAGAAGAAAAAACCAATTAACATCTTGGCAGTTGATAATATAATGCAGATGGCAAGGGATGACAACATCTTCAGGCTCAAACTGGTACCTTCTATTTTAACTTATTTTTGTTTGTGAATGTTTGTTTTGGTTCTCTCATGCTGTTTGCAGGACAGATTCTCAGACAAAAGCATCATGAATTATTGATAAATGAGTTGTTTTATGTTTGGCTTTCAGAGAAAATGTTTACTAATTGCGTTATGAGGGAATTCAGACCTGCCTGCCTTGAGTGTTAACTCCAGTTCCACAGAGAAAGGCGATGAACACAGAGAAAACCAAAAAACATTTTAGGCCAAATATTCAAATATATCTCATGAACAATAATTCATATCATATATGTACTTTTGAAATATATAACATAATAAGACAAATTATTACTATCAGACAACTGACTGCTGCCTGAAAATATTCTTTTTCAACACATAATTCCTTGGTAGTTTCTGTTTTAAAGGGTGGGAAAGAAAAGTACACATAAATTCAACACATGTCAAGGAATGTACTACAGCAGTCCTCAAAACTCTTAAATCCACAATAAACTAATCCCTCATCATTCATGCTTTACAGTTTTCAAAGAGCTTTCATATGATTTTTTTCACTTGATCTTATTTGACAATGTTGTGAGGTAGGTAGAGTAAGTATTTTTTATCTTCATTTACAAACAAGGGAACTGAGGCTCGAAGAGTTAGATTGTTAAAGGTCAGAAACAATAATAGCATAAGGCAGAGCCAGGCCTCTTCAGAGTCTAGAATAATTCTCCAAAGTATGATTCTTAAATTACCTGCATAAGAATCACCTGTGGTGTTTTTATAACTAAAGATTTTAAAGTCCTATCACTTTGGCCTTACAGAATAAGTCTCTCTAGGAGTGGAGCCCAGAATTCTGCATTTTATAATGAATAATAAAGTGGAGAACAATTAAATATTAGATAATGATATAAAATTGAAAGACTGAATCCATGTGGATGGGTGTTCATATGATATAATATGATGCCATCAGATCATCAGGGGCAAGTTAAAGTAGTGAGTTTCAAGCCAGGCTGCAGATTAGAATCACATGGAAAGCTTTTTGTCCTTTTTAAGAAACCTACCAATTCTTATTTGTATGAGAGGAAGTTGTTAGGTATCTGAAGTAACCCAAGTGATTCTTATCTGCAGTCAGGGCTGAGGACCCTTGTTTAAATATGCTTTTTACATAACACATCCAGCATGTTCCAGCATTTTTCTTTCTCTTTGGATAGATTTCACGCCTAATAAGGTTTACAGTTTATATTGTAAATTATTTAAACATTACCAGATAAACATTTTTTACTTGATTTTTTAAGATTAAATGATATTCATAGTAAGACTACTAATCATGCTTCATTTAGCTACAATGATTTTCAAATACTCAAATCAACCACCACTTTGGACTGAGGTTATATATATTTCAGTTGTAAACAAGAATGATCCAGAATCTGAAAATAAGAGTGTGGGGCAAAAGCTGTAGCCTACTAGCTATAGGGCAAGGCAAGAGCAGACAATCAAATCACTATAGGAGGGCCTGGATGCCAAGGTCTGGTGGCTTTGGCAAGATCACATCTCACTGTAGAAAAATACAACAACGAATACAGAGAAAATACTTTGTCATTTTATAACTGTGGTTACCACAAAGAGCCTTATAATGTGTGATGTTTGTCTTATTACATGCCTCCACAAAGCAGATTTTGAACATTAAGTTTTCTATGAATCAATACTATTACATGGGAAAAGATGGCTACAAATTAAAATTTTCCATCATGCACATGGGTAAGTTATAAAAACACAGCCAGTAAAAGTAATATTTACAAAAGTTATAAAAACAGCACAATTATAGGGGAAAGAATGCCCATCTCTTTATTCTACTACTAATCCAAATCCTGAATATCTCTGGATGAAGATTATTTCAATAGGATTTTGAGAGAATCTTTCACAGACTAACCAAATTCTTCTGTTGCACTTTTATTCTATTAGCTAAAATACCCTTGCTGATTTATTAAATTCTCCTTACAGTTTAAAAACACAGTTCTTTTTTCACTTAGTGGAAATAAAACTACAAAGTCCTACTATTCATCTGAGAAGTATACCTTGCATAGAAAATTTCTTTAATTCTGAAATTGTTTTATTAACTGAGCTATCAGAATGTTATCTCACCACTAGTTCATAGTATATGAAAGTTCACTACAAAGCAGTCACCACACATTTAGGATTTTTCTAAATATAAAATGAGTGGGTTTATAAAAATGCTTACCAGACAAATAATTATCTCTTCTTAACCTAGAAAGACTAATTATTATTATGATGATTTAATTCTTAGTGTTTTGGATGCCTGATGTTCCAAGTTTGATGCAATATAAAAAGCAAACATTTACCTTTCCAGTGGACACAATCTGCACTTGACTGAAAGCATGTTAACAGCGAGTTACAGCAATCAGTCATGCAAAGGCAAAGAATAAAATCTGCTTTTTAAACAGCACAAGTTTTCCACCTTAGACAAGACAAATTAAGCACTGGTACCATCTTCTTCAATAACCCGATTCATGCTGGTGCCATGTGTGATGTGAGTCATGGGATTATTACTGAGATCTCTGATGCTGCTATGTCGTGACTGTTCATTGAGCCGATGAGAACTACTATGCCTGGAGTGATCTGTCAGTCGTGACATGCTGCCATGAGGTAGTCTCTCCTCCATTCCTCTGTAACTGCAGGGCGTGTACCTGTTATGAGAGAGTTTATTTTGAAGTGGGTTAACAGAACACACTAGAAAATGTAATAACACTAATAATTTTTATGAAGATGCCTCAGTACAGGAAATTATTAGGAAACCAACCATGAGAAAGTAATAAACAACTTTTGATTGCTTAACTTTATTAACACTGTGGAATTACTGACATAGCCAACAACAGAAAAGAGATAATCCACTCAGAAATAAGGTTCTATTCCCTGCAAAAGGACAGAAGCTGAGGTTAAACAAGGCTGATTTGAAGCTGCGCTAGATATGGATGCCTTCAAATGAGTTTTGAACAGGGTGGGTTCAGGGAGAGGGGTAAGAACAAATAGAAGAAATGTGGCATTGCCCCTGGCAGCCAAGAGTGGTTATACTCAGTAGAGGGGTATACTCAAATTTTATTAAAGACTATGATTGGAAGAGGGAGCATATAAAATCAGGGGAGAAACTGTGTAACCTAAAAAATATAAATGAATAAACTGGCAAGCAACAATGACAGTATGTGCTGAAAGCTGCTTTTCAGTTAAAAACTGAGTTGCTGGGCGTGGTGGCTCAAGCCTGTAATCCCAGCACTTCGGGAGGCTGAGGCGGGTAGATCACGAGGTCAAAAGATCGAGACCATCCTGGTCAACATGGTGAAACCCCGTCTCTACTAAAAATACAAAAAATTAGCTGGGCATTGTGGTACATGCCTGTAATCCCAGCTACTCAGGAGGCTGAGGCAGGAGAATTGCCTGAGCCCAGGAGGCGGAGGTTGCGGTGAGCCGAGATCGTGCCATTGCACTCCAGCCTGGGTAACAAGAGCGAAACTCCGTCTCAAAAAAAAAAAAAACAAAAAAAAAAACTGAGTTAACTACCTGTAAATTATCTTAATTACTTCTTATCAGGGCTTAAGGCTCTGAAGATGCTCCTTCACAGAAGCGACATCTGCTTGGAAGTTACATCCTAACACTTTGTAACCTATATTCCCACTAAAGCAAATTCTTTGTACCTCCAGCCCTAGACCCAGCTTGGAGTATGTGAGCTGGGCTCCTCTGCTAACTGTGGGCTGTCTCCTTCTCTGCACTTATCTTGAAAGGCAGCAGAGGGGCTATTAAATTTTCTTTTGTTGCAGTCCTGACTCACTGAGCTTTGCCATGAGGAATGAGATTAGCTCTAGGCCAGTCAAGGTCAGGAAAATCAATTATGACTTTTTTATTAGTCCTTTGCCCATGGAGCCAGCATGCTATTTATCAATGATTCTGGCTTTATAGTGTGCTCTTTCAAGGTAAAAACCATATTGTATCTTTTAATTCCTAGTGCCTCAAGAAATATTTGTCTAAATTATTTTTTGTTTATACTTAAACCTATACACTTTTGTGTATAAGTAAAAGTATTTGATTTAGGATAATAAACCTCAAAGAAAATCTAGTATAATTTTGCAAATTATACTAAGTATTTGATTTTGTAAAAGTATTTGATTTATGATAATAAACCTCAAGGAAAACTTATAACTTTAACATTAATATTTCTAAAAATGAAATATAGCAGGTTAGGTTTTTGTTTTTTTTTAAACAGTCATCAAAAAAACTAATCATAAGCAGTTGCAGATCTGTTGGTTGTCAGGGAGCATTAATCTACCATTCCTTCACAAAAATAATTATAACAAATTTCATGAGTCAGTGTGAATTATTTATAAAATTTAAAGACAGAATCATACACCATGGAGGTGATCTTTTAGTCTTACAGCGATGCCTGCCAAGTAATATTTTCATTAGATCAGAGTTTAAAACTTGAGAAGTCTTTTGAATTTTTTTTTAAAAACATGTCTTTTGTTTCAGTAAAGCAAAAAAGAAAAGTTAAATATGAAAAGATAAATATTTAAATATTTCAAACATTTCTCACGTTAGTGGGTAAAAAGGTATTTAATTCTTATTTATTAAAAGATACTTCACATTTAGGACCTAAAACAGTTTTAAATTTGTTCTGCAGGTTTTGGTAAATGATGACATGTTTGCAGATAAAAACATTTCAGAATGGACTGGTTATTCTAGTCTAATAATTATTATTTTGCATAATGATTATTGCCTTAAAATGGAATAGAAGATTTTTTCTAAGTTTCCAAATATGACTTAGCAGCTGATTTGGAGATCTTTCACCTCTCAATGGCTTCCTGAGTATCTGTCTCAAATAAATATGGCAAATGAAAAAAGCAAAATATGATGCGGTTTTCTAGTAATAATATAGTCATCTTTTAAAAATCACTATATAAAAATATAAACTGAGTATTTTCTAAAATGAAATATAAAGCTTCGAGTTACGAAAACTCAATGTATTTTTCACAGAAAAATTTACTATATTGAATAATTACATCTAAATTACTTAGTGACACATATGGCTATCCACAAAAAATCAAACTGACCATGGATAACTAAAAGTCAACTACATAGAAAAAGAAATGTAAATACACTGTTTTTGTTTTTGTTTTTGTTTTCTGAGACGGAGTTTCGCTGTTGTTACCCAGACTGGAGTGCAATGGCACGATCTCGGCTCACCGCAACCTCTGCCTCCTGGGTTCAAGCAATTCTCCTGCCTCAGCCTCCCTGGTAGCTGGGACTACAGGCACGCGCCACCATGCCCAGCTAATTTTTGTATTTTTAGTAGAGATGGGGTTTCACCTTGTTGAACAGGATGGTCTTGATCTCTTGACCTCGTGATCCACCCACCTCGGCCTCCCAAAGTGCTGAGATTATAGGTATAAATATACTGTTTAATCTCAATTGTATATATAAGAATTACCAAGTTTATTTTTTGACAGTCATTTAAACTACTGTGACCACTGACTCTAATTAATACATAGTGTGAAAATGTAAATTCATTTTCATATAAGCTTAGGCAAAACAATTAGGATGGTTAATTTGTTGCTGTTGTCAAAAAGATAATTTGGTGCCTTTCAAAATCACCATAAAAAAACCCTGAAGATGATTTACTCTTTTTGAGTTTCCAAACTATCTGCTATTGTTAATCTAAATAACTGAATTAACTGTAGTTTCACTAATACCTCCTTTTTATATTCCCTAGCTTTTTCTTGTCATGTCACCCACTTAACCAACCTAATCATTCATTCCCAAACCTCCACCTACCTACTCATCCACTTTCTTTTTCACCCACTCTCTCATCTAACCACCAATTACTTATTCTTTGAAGATGACATACATAAGTAGGTGTATTCACCTCAACCTATTTTGTTTTACATAGTACAGAGATCAATAATTATCCAGCAAAGAGTCTGGGCCAGAGTGAGTATTGAGAAGTGGGTGTGTGTATGATCCCAAAGCCAAGATACCATGAAATGATGAGAAAATGACCAAAACATAGTGTTAGCACACAAAGTTAAAAACTGACTGAAGCAGAAAGAAATCTCCATGAGACGGCTTTTGAAACTATGAAAATCCTTGTTTAGACTTCTGGTTCACCAGTCTTGGAACCTCTCAAATCTGCCCTAAAGTTCTAGGTACAGCAAAGAATCCTACAGTATAAGTATTCATGTGCCACATTACAGAAACCTTCAGTAGGGTGCCATTGTCATTCTAGCTCCTGAATTTCTGGGAAACATCCACAGTATTTCTAAAGTCATTACTTACTTCATAGATTTGTTCATCCCCTTCTATATATAGGCCTAGCACTGTGCTAGATACGGTGAAGGAATATGGTATCCCTTAGTTCTTATTCTCCAGAAGCTGCAAGCTTAGGTGAGGAAAAACAATTATATGGAAAACAGATCATAACAAAAAGAAAGATACGCAATTTCTCTGACTCATATGCCCACTGTTCTTCCTGTATTATTATTACTGTGAATATTTTCAAAGGTCTTGTTTTTGAGCTGTTATTTTAATAGTGAATTAAGGGATTCTAGCTTACAATTTTAATTGCCAACTATCTTATATTGATGATTATAAACTTTCTTATCTAAACTCAAGTTCTGTTCAGATGAGAGTAGCTTAAATCTATTTTAACCGCCCTCAGAAATTCTCTACTTAATATAAACTCATCTTTTACTATTCATTCACCCTGCTTATCGCCAATATATTTTCTTATTTTACTTTTTTGAGACGGAGTTTTGTTCTTGTTGTCCAGATTGGAGTGCAATGGCATGATCCTGGCTCACCACAACCTCCACCTCCCAGGTTCAAGCGATTCTCCAGCCTCAGCCTCCCAAGTAGCTAGGATTACAGGCATGTGCCACCATGCCCAGGTAGTGTTTTTCGTGTTTTTGTTTGTTTGTTTGTTTGTTTGTTTTAGTAAAGACAGCGTTTCTCCATGTTGGTCAGTCTGGTCTGGAACTCTCGACCTCAGGTGATCTGCCTGCCTCAGCCTCCCAAAGTGCTGAGATTATAGGTGTGAGCCACCGCGCCCAGCCTACATCTATTATCTTTAACATTCACTGTCTTAATTATATTCTAACTTGTGCTATTATTTAACTGGCTCATATTTATGTGTCTTATCTTTCCTATAAGGTTATATGCTCCTAGAAGGCATAAATTACATCTTACTTTTCTTCCATATGAATCGTTAAACACAGTATGCCACAAGTATAGGTGGCATACTGTGTATAAAGATATATATGGAATTATTCACTCATAGATGAATGTATAAAGATATATATATATATATATATATATATATATATATATATATGAATTATTAATTCATCCTTGAACGGATAAGGCCACCTGGGCACGGTGGCTCATGCCTGTAGTCCCAGCACTTTGGGAGGCTGAGATGGGCAGATCACTTGAGGCCAGAAGTTCAAGACCAGCCTGGCCAACATGTCAAAACCCCAGCTCTAATAAAAATACAAAACATTAGCTGAGCGTGGTGGCACACGCCTGTAATCCTAGCTACTCAGGGCGCTGAGGCATGAGAATGGCTGGAACCTGGGAGGCAGAGGTTACAGTGAGCTGAGATAGTACCACTGCACTCCAACCTGAAAAACAGAGTGAGACTCTGCCTCAAAAAAAGAAAAAAAGAAAAAACAAAGAAAGTCTAAGGCCAATAATGGCAAATAAAGCTGTTTATGGAGGATGGCGACTGATAAATATATTCTAAAATAACTCTAATTCCAGGAAAAAAAAAAAAAAAAGAAGTCTAATTCCCTCCCTCCTTATCAGTATCTTCAGCTGGGAACCCCTAAATTACTGTAGAAACTTTCTAACTAGGCTTACTTATGATCTCCCTCATTAAGATGCTATTGCCAAGTGATTTTTCTAAAATACTAATCTGATTTTCTCACCCCAATGCCCAAAGACCTATGATAGTTTCTTACTGGTGTCAGGGAAAAATGCAAACTCCTCGGTATGAATTCCTCTCCTTCAGTTGCTGAAACATGCACTCTATACTCTAGCCATACCCATGTACCTAACTGCCTGTCTGTCTTCCTTGCCTCTGCATGTGCTGTTTCCTTGTCTTTGACTCCCAACTGCCTCCTCCGAATCCTATTCAATGTAGAAGTGCCATCTCTTTTGCAAAGCTTTCACTTTCTGTGATGTAGTAAATGGTTTTCTTCTCTGAGATCTCAATGCACCCTGTACATATTTTTACTATACCTACTGAAGTGTATTGTAACTGATTGTTTACTCTTCTGTCTTCTGTCTCTGCATCACTAGCACTTAGAAGAATGCTTCTCATATAGGAGTACTAAGTGGAATGAAAAAAGGAAGGAAGGAGAAAAGATCCCTGTGGTTAAAATGAGGTCACTGGTGATGTTAGAGGGTACAGTTGAGGCAGGTAGAGAAGAGAAAAAGACTAAACTTACAAGGGATGAAGAATGGTTCAGGGAGAAGGAAAATATTCATTTCAAAAATCTAGCCAGGAAAGAAAAAAGAAATGGATAAAAGATATATCAGCATCAAAGAAAGACACTTGCTCTTTTAAACACAGGGTAGCTGACCAACATAAGGTAAAAGAAAACAAGTTGAGAGGAAAAAACAGAAGATTAAAATAGGCCAGGCATGGTGGCTCACACCTGTAATTCCAGCACTTTGGGAGGCTGAGGTGGGTGGATCACCTGAGGTCAGGTGTTCGAGACCAGCCTGACCAATATGGAGAAACTCCATCTCTACTAAAAATACAAAAAAATTAGCCAGGCATGGTGGCAGGCACCTATAATCCCAGCTACATGGGAGGCTGAGGCAGGAGAATTGCTTGAACCCAGGAGGCAGAGGTGGCAGTCAGCTGAGGTCAAGCCATTGCATTCCAGCCTGGGCAATAAGAGTGAAACTCCATCTCAAAGTTTCTCAAGGAAATAAGAGAGGACACAAACAGATGGAAAATCATTCTATGCTTACGGTTAGGAAGAACCGATATTGTGAAAATGGCCAATATTACCCAAAGTAATTTATAGATTCAATGCTATCCTCGTCAAGCTACCACTGACCTTCTTCAGAGAACTGGAAAAAACCACTTTAAACTTCATAAGGGACCAAAAAAGAGCCCACATAGCCAAGACGATCCTAAGCAAAACAAAAAAAACAAACAAAGAAAGCCCGCAAAGCTGGTGGCAACACACGACCTGACTTCAAACTATACTAGAAAGCTACAGTAATTAAAACAGCACGGTACTGGTACCAAAACAGAGATATAGACCAATGGGACAGAACAGAGGCCTTGGAAGTAATGCCACACATCTACAACCATCTGATCTTTGACAAACCTGACAAGAACAAGCAATGGGGAAAGGATTCCCTATTTAATAAACGGTGTTGGGAAAACTGGCTAGCTACGTGCAGAAAGCTGAAACTGGACCCCTTCCTTATACCTTATACAAAAATTAACTCCAGATGGATAAAGATTTAAACATAAGACCTAACTCCATAAAAACCCTAGAAGAAAACCTAGGCATTCAGGACACAGGCATAAGCAAAACACTTCATCACTAAAACACCAAAAGCAATGGCAACAAAAGCCAAAATAGAAAAATGGGATCTAATTAAACTTAAGAGCTTCTGCACAGCAAAAGAAACAAGCAATAGAGCGAACTGGCAACCAACAGAATGGGAAAAAATTTTTGTAACCTACCCATCTGACAAAGGGCTAATATTCAGAATCTACAAAGAACTTAAACAAATTTACAAGAAAAAAACAACCCCATCATCAAAAGGAGGAAAAGAATATGAACAGACACTTTTCTAAAGGAGACATTTATGCAGCCAACAAATATATGAAAGAAAGCTCATCATCACTGGTCATTAGAGAAATACAAATCAAAACCACATTGAGATACCATCTCACACAAGTGAGAATGGTGATCATTAAAATATCTGGAGACAACAGATGCTGGAGAGGATGTGGAGAAATAGAAATGCTTTGACACTATTGGTGGGAGTATAAATTAGTACGACCATTGTGGAAGACAGTGTGGCGATTCCTCAAGGACCTAGAAACAGAAACACCATTTGACCCAGCAATCCCATTACTGGGCATATACCCAAAGGATTACAAATCGTTCTACTATAAAGACACATGTACATGTATGTTCACTGTGGCACTGTTTACAATAGCAAAGACTTGGAACCAACCGAAATGCCCATCAATGATAGAATGGACAAAGAAAATGTGGCACATATACACCATGGAATACTATGCAGCCATAAAAAGGATGAGTTCATGTCCTTTGCAGGGACATGGAGAAAGCTAGAAACCATCATTCTCAACAAACTGACACAAGAACAGAAAACCAAACACTGCATGTTCTCATTCATAAGTGGGTGTTGAACAATGAGAACACATGGACACAGGGAGGGGAACATCATACACCAGGGTCTGCTGGTGGGTGGGAACTCAGGGAGGGATAGCAGGGGGTGGGGGGATTAGGGAGGGATAACATTAGGAGAAATACCTAATGTAGGTGATGGGGGAATGGAGGCAGCAAACCACCATGGCATGTGTATAGCTATCTAACAATCCTGCACGATCTGTACACATACCCCAGAACTTAAAGAATAAAGAAGTACAGAGTACAGGAATCACATTCTACACTAGCAGGACAGGGATCACAGAGTACAGGATCGCATTCTACACTAGGAGGACTGAGACTGACAGGATAAAAACAGCTGTGGAAACAGATGTTGTCAATACAACACAGAATCCTGCTACTTTCAGGTATTGTAATTTTTATTCTTTCAGTTTCCCAAATAGAAATTTTAAAAAACACCCCCAAAAAATCCTTATCACATTCCTTTTATCTGTTAATATTAATTTATTAATAATCTCTATCCTTTCTTCTTTCTAAATATCTTTCAGGTCAGCTCTACCTCTCTTCCCACTGCCACCATTCTCCAATAAGCTTTTATCAACTCTCAATTGAATTACTGAAAAGCTCCTAGGCAGCTTCTAATTCTAGTATCACATTTCTCAAATTTAACAATAAACCCACAGTCAGGTTTCTTTCACACATTTTCTCTGTGAAATCAACTCCCTCCTCAGCTACTAGAATTAATAGCTCCCTCCTCTATGCTACTACTGTACCTAGTGAACAGGGGTTGGCAAGGCCTGTTGGCCAAATCCTATTTTTGCAAATAGTTTTATTGGAAAGCAGTTATTTCTATTTGACTACATATTGTCTATGACTGCTTTTATGCTACAACAGCAGACCTGAATAGTTGCAACGGAGACCATATGACCTAAAATACTTACTATCTGGCTCTTTACAGAAAATGTTTGCCAAAAATATCATACTTATACGTTACTTTAATTGTTAATTACAATAATAAAAGAAGCTGATATGAGGAGCTTACTGAGACAGGCATTCTTCCAAGATATTAGGTACGGAAGAATGCCTATCTCATTTAATTTGTACAGTATTATTAAAGAGGCAGATATTACTACTATATTTATTTTATAGATAAGGAAACTGAGGCTTATCATTTCCATATCCATGTTCTAAACCACAACACTGACTACACCATTCTTCTAAATAGACTGTGAGCTTATTAAGAGCAAAGACCATGTCTAAGTCATCTTTGTATTCTCAGAGCCTAGCATAGTGCCAGATGTAGTAGGTATTCCATAACTGTTCACTAAATTAATCTTACTAAAATAACCACTTTCATCCTGTCTTCTCCCTGCTCAATCCCCATATTATATGTTACATTATAAGCAATAACTCCCATATTGCTTACTGCATCAAATCTAAACTCCAAACAATTCTAACTGACTTTAAGTCTGACCACAGTCTGGGACAACAATCAGAACACGCGGACTATAAGAGAACACATGCTCTATATGGAAAGCTTGGGTTTAGCTCTATGTGGAATTTATAATGCAACTCTATTACAGAATTATTTACATATGGTCCAGAGGTGCCCAGGAATATTTAATTCAAGTCTTTTCCTCAGCATCATGTTTTACTGTGATTACAATAAAGTTTCCCAAAGAATACACAAATAAATCAGAGTAAATCCCGTAAGGCAGGACGCTCTTAAGAGATCATGGTCTTAGCCTGTTTTGTCCGCTATTGAATCATTGGTATCCAAAAATAGTTGGTGGCACATAGTAAGCATTCAACAAGACTTTCAAAGAATGAATAAATGCCTAGAAGATAAATTTTTTTGCTTGCTACTGAGTGAACTCAATAGCAAAGTTCAAAGCCTTAATTACGTTCAACTATTTCAGAATTGGCTGCTCTTCTTTCTTAAGCTGATGATCATAATTTAGCTTATGCAATAAACTAAGCTACTAACAAAACTCACCTGCCATCACGTGATCTGTGGAGGCTGCCGTGGTAGCTGCTCACTTTGCTGTGGATGCTCCCTGCTTTGCTTCTTTGATCATCCACCATAGCCAGCTGAGTTGAAGAAGCATGGGTGGATGTTCCTTGAGTGGAAGTTCCCCTCGACTTTCTTATGATAGGAGTATTTGGATCTCTCAGGAGAGACTGAGCAAAATCAGGTTCCTGGAGTACTTGTCGGCTCTCATTCACTATCCTAGACAACAAAACAGTAAGTTTAAGATACATACAACCTTCCTACAGACCAATAAGCAATACTTCTGTGCAACACTGATAGTGTTCTTGAAATTAATTGCTTGCCAAGTTAGACCTTATAGGACTGATATGAAGAGACATTATTGACAGAGTAAAGAATATAACAATCCATGTCAATCTGTCCCTAAGATGGTATGATGGAAAAAGTCCTGTGTTAGAATAAGGAAATCAGGATTTTACTTCCAGCTTTATCAATAAAAATGTGATCTTAAGCATGTCACTACCTTCTCTTTCATTTCTTCACCCACAAAATGAAGGTATACAATTTCAACATTTCTAAAAGGTCCCTTTCAGCTAAAGAAATTTGTCATTCTTAAGACACTGAAATATTATGAACATACAACTCTAAAACAGAAAAACTGTTTTCTTGCATGGTTTATATATGCGGTAGAGGCTTCACTGTAGCATGGATACAATATTTTTTTAAGCTGTAAGAGCAGTTGTTTTAGGCTATGAGTTGATTTTACACAGAAGCAGCTGTCTAGTGCTGGAATAAACGTGAGAGGTCATAATTAAATAAAATGAAAAATTAAAGTTAAAATTAAGTCTCAGACATAGTAGAAGCTTAAAGAGAAACGTTTAGGCAAAGAATTATTCTCAAGAACAAAAATTTTTAACTACTATCAAAGGATTAAGTAGATGACTTATGATGATGAACAACGCAGTAATGAAATTAATATAAGAGCTAATTACAATGTCTTGATTTATATAAGTAAAGGACTTACTATGAGAATCATGAAGTTAAAATTGGATAATCAACTTCATTTCAAAACTAAAACTCCAGCATATAAAGACTAGATCATATACTGAGAAATTACATATATTATAAATTATCAGATTACAACAGGATTATTGCCGTTGTTTTCACCTTGGGGTAGAAAGGCTAAAGGAAGACTAGTATTTATTGAGTACTTTATATACATTCTCCTTTGATCCTCTTAATAATGTCATCATTATAGAGATTCATGTCCTAAGAGTATATTTCTTTTTTTTTTTTTTTTTTTTGAGACGGAGTTTCGCTCTTGTTACCCAGGCTGGAGTGCAATGGCGCGATCTCGGCTCACCGCAACCTCCGCCTCCTGGGTTCAGGCAATTCTCCTGCCTCAGCCTCCTGAGTAGCTGGGATTACAGGCAAGCACCACCATGCCCAGCTAATATTTTGTATTCTAAGAGTATATTTCTAAGGGAACATTGGGTACCTATTAATAATAGATACTGTAATTCCCATTTCACAGACAAAGAAACTAAAGTTCCAAGAGATTACAGAATTTTCAGAAAATCACACAATGAAACCAACAGTCAAGGATCAAACTTAGGTTTAAAGTCTTAGGGGCTAATCACAAGGTAATGATAAAACAGTATTTACACATATCTGGAAAACAAAGTGTCAAAAATATGACACAAAAAAGAGCAAGTCAAAAAAAAGTAAAAATAAATAAATAAAATCTGGATTCATACATCCCATCAAGTCATTATTGGTTGCTAACTTTATTTTCCAAACTGGGTTCAAACTAGCTTCTAGTGATTTTAAAAATTTAATTCACCTTCAAACAGTGAAGGTTTGTCACCTCATTTTACAGATAATGTCCAGAGAGATAAAAGTGAAATGACCCAGGTAATTCAAAAGACGATTTCTAAAAATATTTAAATCTATGTCAGAATTATTAGCATAAGCATGGTCTTAAATTTGGCTTCACTCAAGGAGAGAACATTAATTCGATTAGCACAATGTTAGAAACCAGCCTACAGCATAGCGTAAAAAAGCAGTGAAGAACACAGCTCTGGAGTCAGACTGTCTGGGTTTGAATCTATATGTTATCAATCACTTGTTATGAAATCTTGGTTCTATGCCTCAGTTTCCTTATCTGTAAAACGATGTCCTCCCTCACAAGAGTGTTTAGAGCATTAAATGATTTAATGTGTAAAGTACTTAGTGCTTTGAGTATTAAATGTGCCCAATAAATTGATACCCATTATTATGATTATCTTATAGTTGTTTTCAAAGGCTAACCAGACAAATGCTAGAAATACCCAAAGGGTACCCACATTCTTGAACTCCAGAATAAGGGGCTGCCACTCCAGCCCAGAGCACATCCTGGCTTGGAAGATCACAATGACTGTTGGCTGGGAATCCACAGCTGCAAAAAACCAAATGGAAGGGCCCCTGAGAGTTTTAACCAGTTTCAAAAGGATTTTCGCCCAACCAGTAACCCCACCAAACTATTTAAGATAAATCTCTATAAGGAAAGCTTGGGTTTAGCTCTATTTGGAATTTCTAATGCAACTCTATTTATAGAGTTGAATTATTTATACATGGTCCAGGAACGTTTAATTCAAGTCCTTTCCTCAGCATTGTGTTTTACTGTGATTACAATAAAGTTTCCCAAAAATATACAAACAAATCAGAGTAAATCCCACAAGGGAGGAAACTCTCTAAGAGAGTTGGATCTTGGTACGTTACTTTATTTGCATAGATTCAGTATAGTGCTCAGCATGCAAAAATTTAAATTTTCCTTTTTGGAATTTTCTTGGCATTTTTTTCCCCAAATATTTTTGATCCATTGTTGACTGAATCCACTGATATGGAATCCCCAGATACAAAAGGCTGACTGTATATTAAACTGTGATTATCTTATCTCTGTTAATATAATTTGCTAATTACTGGTATTTCAGTAAAGACAAACTTTATTAGTGAGGCAGAAACTAAAGCAACTTCAAATTGTATCATCTAAGAAAACTACATTAACCAATACAAGGCACATTCTACATATTATTTAAAAATATTTACAGACTACTCCCCAAAACATTATTCTTCCATGGAGCCTAGGTTAAGTAAAATCATAATAAATACAGAATCCAACCAGGCACAGTGGGTGGCTCACGCCTGTAATCCCAGCACTTTGGAAGGCCGAGGGTGGATCACGAGATCAGGAGTTCAAGACCAGCCTGGCCAAAATGGTGAAACCCTGTCTCTGCTAAAAATTCAAAAATTAGCTGGGCATGGTGGCAGGAGCCTGTAATCCCAGCTACTTGGGAGGCTGAGACAGGAGAATGGCTTGAACCAGGGTGGGAGAGGTTGCAGTGAGCCGAGATTGAGCCACTGGACTGCAGCCTGGGCGACAGAGTGAGACACTGAAGAAAAAAAAGAAAAGAAAAGAAAGAAAAAGAAAAAGAAAAGAAAAGAAATACAGAATCCACTAACTTAGAGTAACTGAGTAAAAATTCTGTTCCACTGTGAAAACTGCAGGCTTTTGTTTTGTTTTACAACTGAGGTACAAGAACATAAAGAATCCTTAAATATGCCCTCAAATGATACTGTAATATGCAGTATGGCCAACTATGAATTAAAATGACCTCTAACACATTTCAATTTATCTACTAATATCATTTTTCTATTTGGCTTTAACATGTACTATATTAGAATGGAATAAGAGTATTTCTTTATATCACTTTTGGTATGCTTGGAAGAACAATGGACAACTGGAGATAGCAGTTAATCTAGCTCCTAACAGTAAACACCTGTGTGACTTTGGCCAAGCACTTAACCTCTACCTTATTTTCTCATTTGTAAAAGAGAGAAGAGAATACATGCCAACTTTCAAAGGAGTATCAGGAAGATCAGGTAAGAACGTAGAGAAAAGCATTAATTTTCTTTTAATTTTAAGACAATTATAATTTAAATTCTTTTCATAAAGATTGGACTTCCTTCATATATTCGGAATTAGTACAGGCAGCTTGCTCATCTTCTGGACTACTTGGCCATCTTCTCAAAATAAGTTTTTAGTTTTAAATTAAGACATGCATTGGCAACAAAAGCCAAAATAGACAAATGGGACCTAATCAAACTCCACAGCTTCTGCACACCAAAACAGTCATTAGAGTGAATTGGCAACCAACAGAATGGGAAAAAACTTTTGCAGTTTACCCTTCTGACAAAGGACTGATATCCAGAATTTACAAAGAACTAAAACAGATTTAAGAAAAAAATTCAAGAAAAAAACAAACAAGCCCATTCAAAAGTGGGCAAAGGACATGAACAGACACTTTACAAAAGAAGACATACATAGCCAACAAACATATGAAAAAATTCTCATCATCACTGGTCAATAGAGAAATGCAAATCAAAACTACATTGAGATGCCATCTCATGCCAGTTAGAATGGCGATCATTAAAAAATCTCGAGACAACAGATGCTGGAGAGGATGTGGAGAAACAGGAACACTTTTACACTGTTGGTGGGAATGTAAATTAGTTCAACCATTGTGGAAGAATGTGTGGCGATTTCTCAAGGACCTAGAAATATATACCAAAATTCCATTTGACCTAGCAATCCCACTACTGGGTATATATCCAAAAGATTATAAATCGTTCTACTATAAGGACACATGCACATGAATGTTCATTGCAGCACAGTTTACAACAGCAAAGACCTGGAACCAACCCAAATGCCCAGGACAGGGAAAATGTGGCACATATACACCATGGAATATTATGCAGCCATCAGAAACGATGAGTTTGTGTCCTTTGTAGGGACATGGATGAACCTGGAAGCCATCATTGTCAGCAAACTGACACAGGAGCAGAAAATCAAACACCGCATGTTCTCACTCATAGGCAGGTGTTGAACAATGAGAACACATGGACACAGGGAGGGGAGCACTACACACTGGGGTCTGTTGGAGGGAAATAGGGGAGGGACGGTGAGGGGTGGGGAGTTGGAGGGGGATGGCATGGGGAGAAATGCCAGATATAGGTAAGGGGGAGGAAGGCAGCAAATCACACTGCCACATGTGTACCTATGCAACAATCTTGCATGTTCTTCATATGTACCCCAAAACCTAAAATGCAATAAAGAAAAATAAAATAAATAAATAAATAAATAAATAAATAATAAAATAAATTAAGACACACTACTGTGCCAATCATAACTGGATATTGCTGAAAATGTTACAGTCTTGTTTGAATAATTCTCCAAATCCAAGTCATTTTCACATAAGCAAAACAAAAAATATTTACATAAACGTGAGGCTTGTGAACATCATGATAATTTATTTTAACTTACTCTTTTTTTCTACGACCATGAAAAAAACTGGCCCATTCAAAGCATGTCTTTTTGCTTCCAACCCAAAATACAGAGGGAATGCCAACTATGAGAGCCATCAGGTATTTCATCAGAAAGAGAATCAAGTCTGGACGACTCATTTGAGTAACCTAGAAGAACAGAAAGAAAAACGTCTTAAATATATAAAAATAACTTTCTATGAAAGACCACTATAAAATCTTTTAAATAAAGTGAGAGTAAAATAATTCTACAAATTTGATGTTTTCATTTGTAAGGTTTAAAAGGTAATTTTCTTCTTATGTGGAAAAAATACACTCCTGAAAATTTGACGATAAATTTATACACTGAGCCAGATCTATCTACCTAGATAGACAGAAGATAGATATTTGGCTGATATTAGCCATCTTGTAAACTAGGAAAGAATGGAGATCATATGTACAACAGCAGTGGGGGCAGTGGTGATGCAGATGGACTTTTTTTTTAAAAGAGTAATGTGAAAATAAGATGTCATAGAAGGAAAAGACTGACAGGTTTGACTATTAAAAATTTAAAACTTCTACAGAACAAGAAGCCTTAAATCAAATTAACAGAATAATGATTAACTAGAAATATTAACTGTATCAATCAAAAAAGCAAATCTAAGAAAAAGAAAATGAAGAATAAGCTAGGTGTGGTGACTCACGCCTATAATCCCAGCACTTTGGGAGGCTGAGGCAGGCAGATCATCTGAGGTCAGGAGTTCAAAACCAGCCTGGCCAACATGACAAAACGCTCTCTCTACTAAAAATACAAAAATTAGCTGGGCATGGTGGTGGGCACTTGTAGTCCCAGGTACTCAGCAGGCTGAGACAGGAAAATTGCTTGAATTGGGGAGGTGAAGATTGCAGTGAGTCAAGATCACGCTACTGCACTCCAGCACTGAGTAACAAAGTGGGACTCTGTCTCCAAAAAAAAAAAAAAAAAGAAAGAAAGAAAAGAAAAAAGAAATAAAGCATTTATTAAAAAAAAAAAAAGTCACAGAACTAATAAACCCAAAGTTGATTATTTGAAAAAGGAATAGGCCAGACTCCAGTCTATTCAAAACAACAAAGGGATGAAAACAGCTGAACACACAGACACAGAAATAATAATGAAACAGATACAAATAGAGAAAAACTAAAACAGATACAAATAGAGAAAAATTAAAAGAATCTTTAAAAGATCACTTTGCTCAATTCCAGGCAAATAAACTTAAAAAACAATGGATATAAATGATAGGAAAATGTAATTTAACAAAATTGATGCTGCCAGAGGAGATAAAAAAAATTGAACAGATAATTATAGAATAAAGTTGTCAAAGAGCTACCTCCTCTTAGAAAGCACTAGACCCAAAAGTTTCACAGGAAAATTCTAATAAGGCATTAAAGAACACATAATTTCAAATTGTCTGAAAACACAGAAAAAGGAAACTATTAAAAAGTTTATATAAAGCAAGCATAAAATTGTACTTAACAAAAGCTCCATAAAGAAAGAAAACTTATTTATTTATGTCTCATTTAGGAATTTGTATGCAAACAGAATTTAACAGCAAATTAAAAGAATATGCCAGGATGGTTCAACATTAGTAAATTTATTTATAAATTCAACATATTATTATAGCAAAGGGAAAACATATAATCATCTTCATAAATGCCACAAAGGCATTTGACAAAAGTATTCATTCTTGATTATTAAAAACTGTAATAAAATACAAACAGATGATGGTGAAGTCCTTAAAGACACTGTATCTGTATCTCCATGTATCTCAATCCAAAAGCAAACTTCATGCTTAATGGAAACACCAAAAGCCACCAGAAATATTTTCATTAAAATATGGAATACAAGAAGAGTATCTACTGCCACCACTCTTAGTAAACCAGTCGCAACAGCTCTAGTCTGCGATTAAATAAAAGAAATAAAGGTTATAAAAACTAGAAGGCAGGAGGCAATGTGACCATTATTTATAAATAATGTAATTTTCTTTCTTTCTTTTTTTTTTTTTTTTGAGACAGAGTTTCGCTCGTTACCCAGGCTGGAGTGCAATGGCGCGATCTCGGCTCACCGCAACCTCTGCCTCCTGGGTTCAGGCAATTCTCCTGCCTCAGCCTCCTGAGTAGCTGGGATTACAGGCACACGCCACCCATGCCCAGCTAATTTTTTGCATTTTTAGTAGAGACGGGGTTTCACCATGTTGACCAAGGATGGTCTTGATCTCTTGACCTCGTGATCCACCCGCCTCGGCCTCCCAAAGTGCTGGGATTACAGGCTTGAGCCACCGTGCCCGGCTATAAATAATGTAATTTTATACCTGGAAAAACGAAGAGAATAAAGTAAAAGCTATTATAAATTATAAGCAGGGTTGCTAGGTATGAAATAAAATACATAAATAACTTTCATATATAAAAATATCAATTAGTAGATATAAGAAAGAAAATTCTTCATTTACCATTGTTATGGGCTAAATTGTCTCCCCTATCCAAATTCATACGTTGAATCCCTAACTCCCAGTACCTCAGAATGTGATTGTATTTGGAAGTGAGGCCTTCAAAGAGGTAATTAAGGTTATGTGCATGGATCCTAACCCAATCTGACTGGTATCCTTAGATGAGGAGGAAATGTGAACATAAAGACACCAGGGATATGTACACACAGAGAAAAGACCATGTGAGGACACAGCAAGCAGGCTCCCACCTACAAGCCAAGGAGAGAGACCTGAGAGGAAACCAACCCTGCCAGCACTTTCATCTTGGACTTCCAGCCTCTAGAACTGCAAGAAAATTAGTTTCTATTGTTTCAGCTACCCAGTCTGTGGTATCTCATTATGGTAGCCTTAACATAACTAATACAAACTATAACAAAGGAGACAAAACACCTAAGAATAAATTTAATAAAAAAATGAGTGATCTATTTGAAGACGTTATAAATATAACACACCCCACTTCAAACATGTTCTTAGTCAGAATTTATCGTAAGAATGCAGATTCTCCTAAATTTTGTTATTGAATTTGACACAATCCCAAAATTCCAATAAAAATACCAACAGAGTTATTTGAGCATTAAGACAAGCTGATTTTAAAGTTCATATGGGAAAACAAACAAGAACAAACAGGAAAGTCCTGAAAGAGAAGATAAATACATCATTAAGCTATAGGAATTAAAACTGTGTAATTATGGAACACTATTTAATGTAAGCAGTATTAAAGTAAGTGGTATTTCAAACCATTCAGAAAAAATGCGTTTATTCAATAAATGGATTCTGGACAGGCTTCTAGAAAAAAACAGAGGCGAAGCCATACGATATTTCACAACTAGATGAATTTCTAAAAGACAGAAAATTCAGTCAGGGTGCGGTGGCTCATGCCTGTAATCCCAGCACTGATGGAGGCTGAGGCAGGTGGTTCACTTGAATCCAGAAGGCAGAGGTTGCATCATGCCACTGTACTTCAGCCTGGGTGACAGAGTAAAAGCTCGTCTTAAAGTAAATAAATAAAAACAAAAATTCAAATGTAAGAAAAAATTAACAACAAAAAAGAAACCATAAAGTTCTAGATGAAAGCTTTTGTATCAGGAAGAGAGGTGAAGAGTGACTTTCTAACAATGACACAAAACTTAGAAGCCATCAAGGGTTGGTTGTGGTGGCTCACACCTGTAATCCCAGCACTTTGGGAGGCCCAGGTGGGTGGATCATGAGGTCAGGAGTTCAAAACCAGCCTGGCCAATATGGTGAAATCCCATCTCTACTGAAAATACAAAAATCAGCTGGGTGTAGTGATGCGCACCTGTAGTCCTAGTTACTTGGGAGGCTGAGGCAGGAGAATTGCTTGAACCCAGGAGCTGAGGTTGCAGTGAGATTATGCCACTGCACTCCAGCCCCCGTAAAACAAACAAAAAAAGCTTTCAAAAAGAGACAAGTGTGGCTACATAAATCCCCACATTTCTGCATGGCCATAACTATTGTAGTAACAGCCAAAAGACAATTAAAAAGCTGATATAAAATTGTTGCAAATTACATGGCAGATAAAAGGGCTAATTTTGTTAATGAATAATAAACTCCTACAACTAAATAAAAGCCCATGACCTAAAGAAAAATAGGCAAAATATATGAACAATTTATGAAAAACAAAAGACAAATCTAGAGCTCAGATTCATAGTTAAACTATATGCTGGCTCTATTTTTAACCTATCAAATAGGTAAGATCCAAGAGTCTTGACAGTATATTGCATTAGCAAATGTACAGACAAATACTCTCATATACTGGAGACGGACAGGTAAATTCATAAACCTCTACAGAAGACAATTTGGTAATGTCAAAATTATACCTTTTGATTAAGCAATTATTTTACAAATATATGCTACAGATAATTCATATATATGTGAAATGATGTATATACAAGTATTTTACATATATAATACACCAACAGTAAAATATTAGAAGCAATATGATTTATTCACTCAATGGAATACTATGAGGGCAAGAAAAGATACTGAGAAAGCCTTTTCTATTTTGGTATTGATCTCCAAAATATATCATTAAATGACAAGAGCAAGGTGGGGAAGTGTGTTTGGGAGCTACTGAATAAAAAAGAGGGAGCAAAGGAATATACTTGCTTATACATGCATGAACATCTCTGAAAAGAGGATATACAAATTCCTTGTAAAATTCCAAGTTACCCTTGAGAGAGGCACTGGGAAGCTGGGAAACACAGGTGATGATAGAAGGGAGACATTTCCCATAACTTTTGTAGCTTTTGGGTTTAGAGCCATTAAAAATTTTTAAGAATAAAGAAACAGAATTTTAAATATGTATATATGAAGATTCTAAATATAAAAATAAGTGTGGGATGGGGCACTGGGAAACACCCTCACTGTTGGTAAACTGGTATAACCTTACTAGCATACAATCTTGTAAAACTTATAAAAAATGTAAATGTGTATTCCATTTGACTTAGCAATTCTATTTCAAGAAATAACATCCTAAAGAAATAGCAGATCAATAATAGGAGATTGTTTAAATAAATTATGGTATATACAAATTACCAAATATACAGCCATTCAAAAAATGGTAACGTAAATGAAAAAAGGAGAGTACAGACAGTGGTGTGCTGGTAATTGTTCAACGACTGGCTCTCT